GATGAAGTCCCATAATTTTCAGTAGGCAACACCAATAATTTTTTACTCAGGATACGTTTCTAGTTATCTTGTTTCTTTCCTCTACAAAAACTGCATGCAATTGTTGATTGCAAGCATGTTTTCTCATCTTTAGCATGAGGTGAATTTGTAGACTTGGTTTGCTTCTAATGATCTGTATTCAGTGGTTATCTTCTCTGTTCTGTTTGACTATACCTTTCAAAATGTCTTCTGCCATTTTCATATTGAACTTTTCATGCATACTGTACAGTTTCTGCAAGTAAAATTTCTTGTTTTGTCAGTGCCACACCTCCACTTTGGTTTTATTCAGTTCGTTAATAAGAATTATTTTCTTCCTTAAGTATGACAGAGTGGTACTTTTCAAATTTTTCTCTCTAAAATCTCAATTCTTCTTGTATTTTCTGCTATGTGATCTTATTTTCTAGATTGTATAGGCATTTTTTTTTTCCTAAAATGTGTCTTCTGATCGTAATGAATATAAGATTATTGTTGATCATTGTGTCTCTTCTATTACTGTCCAACACAAGATTGATGGAAGAATCTCCATTGCTTTTTCAAGTTATCTCGAGGCCACTGCTTCAGGTTAAACAAGCAGAATGAATTTTATTAGTGAATTTTGGAAATGGGGATTTCCTTTTAGGATGTAAATCCACATTTATTTTGTTATCTTTTATCTAAGTTTTTCAGATAATATTTGGGGGTATTGTTTCACATCAGTGTAGCTAACCCACAAACTTAAATGTGCATATGTAAATTAGCATTTGACTGTATTAGCAAATGGAATACTGGAACTTGTTTTTGCAAATATTTTACCAACAAGTAAATGTTTAGTCTTTTTGAGAATAGAAAACTACATTTCACTGGTCGGAAAAAGTAAGGTAACTGAATTAAAAAATTAAATTTAAAAGTGTTTTCAGTTTTATGTTTTGGCTATTGCCTAGCCAAACATTTCAAACACGTTTGCCTTTTTCATTAGTAGCATGTTTCTGAATTAGGTTTGCTATCAAATGCCAAGATAAAGGTAATCTATTTATGAGCTACTATTTTTTGGTTTGAATAATCAGTAAGTATTCCTTTTCATGCATTGGATTCCTCAGAGAAAACTGTTAAATAAATGGAAACACAGGTGTTTAACAATACTTTTGTCTGTTTCTGGAGAAATTAAATATAGCTCATTGTCAGTTCCTACCTCCATTAAAAACAGCAAATATCCCAATTAATAAAGGACAGAAAAATTATAGCCCTATACCTTGTGTAAAAAAAACCCAACCTTCCTGTAAATGAAGAGATTATTAAACAGTATAATATACCATTATTAGGGAGTTCTTCCTGTACTTTTTTAACAGATCGTACTTTCCTGAAGAATTGTTGTTAGATATTTTTGCCGTTTGTCTGTGAAGAGATGTAAGTTAAATACACAGTAAGCTATTAATTCTAAAAGGGGGATTTATTTCCTAAGGTCCCTTGGGTTTATAGAGTAGCTTATCTGCAGAAGGAAGAGCTATCCATTTTTACACACAGCTACACATGAATCTCACCACTCACCTGTAGTTTCCATAGGGATTTTAACATGAAGAATGTCTTTGGTCAAGGAATCATAGAATCACAGAATAGTTAGGGTTGGCAAGGACCTTAAGATCATCTAGTTCCAACCCCCTGGAATGGGCAGGGACACCTTGCACTAAATCATGTCACCCAAGGCTCTGCCCAACCTGGCCTTGAACACTGCCAGCGATGGAGCATTCACAACTTCCCTGGGCAGCGCATTCCAGTGTCTCACCACCCTCACAGTAAAGAACTTCTTCCTTACATCTAACCTAAACTTCCCCTGTTTAAGTTTGAATCCATTACCCCTTGTCCTATCACTACAGTCCCTAATGAATAGTCTCTACCCAGCACCCTTGTAGGTCCTCTTTAGGTACTGGAAGGCTGCTATGAGTTCTCCAGGCAGCCTTCTCTTCTCCAGGCTGAACAGCCCCAACTTTCTCAGCCTATCTTCATAGGGGAGGTGCTTCAGTCCCCTGATCATCCCTGTGGCGCTCCTCTGTACTTGTTCCAACAGTTCCATGTCCTTCTTATGTTGAGGACGCCAGAACTGTACACAACACTCCAAGTTGAATTCTCACAAGAGCAGAGTAGAGGGGCAGGATCACTTCCCTTGACCTGCTGGTCATTCTTCTTGGTTGGCTTTGGGGGCTGGATATGGTTGGCTTTCTGGGCTGCAAGTGCACACTACTGGCTCATTCTCTCTAAAAATGAATCTTTTTAGAGGGTATTTTTTTGGCTGATATCATGAAGATGCTTCTGTGTAGGTATTAAAGATGCTATGCTTATATGGATAGTAGATGGTTCACAGTACTGCCATTGAAAGCTTTGCCACGTGTTCTACAAGATGCTACTTTTCTATAGTAGATATAATAATGCAGTACAGATATAATGAAATAAAGGTCTCAGACAGACTAACATGTTGCTAATATAACAGAAGTACTTCACACATGCACACAAATGTATATAACAAAAGGATCAAACAACCATTCATTAATCAACATACACCCTGAATTCTAATTTAAGTGTGTTTAAACAGCCTCACCTCCAACATGGTTTTTGCCCTTAAGATGTTCTTACAGTAACTAGATCAAAAAATATTATTGAACTTGCATTTCTGTTGAAAATACGTAATATTTCAGTTCTAAATTATTTAAAACCTCTGTAGAATACTGAAGAATTGCAATGCTGTTGACATAAATTCACAAATGAATGTTTATATTAACTCAATTGTGCTACTAAACATGTCATTTAAAAGTTTTAGTCTAAACCTGCAAGCATTTATTTCTGCAGATCCTTTGGTAAGAGTATGAACTCTTTGAAGGAATATGCCTGTTCTCATTATTGCAGTTGTATTCCTCCTTTGTGCCCCATCAGTTAAGCACCCCTACCAAATCACAAATGTTTTATTCTATGAGTCACTAAAAAATCTGTGATCTTGTAACCTATTGCAAAGACATTCCTGACCCTGTTCTTACTGATATTGTCCTAGTATTTTTTTCATTTTCACTTTTGAGTGATAGCAGTGAAGGCATATTTTCACAAATAAAGAATATTACTCGATGGTTAGTTACAGAAGATGCATCTTGTTGGTATGCTGAAAACAAAAGCTTAGCATATTCTTTCAGAGATACTTTCAGAGAAAGAGAGGTATAAAGTTGTAAAATGGCTTAATCAAGGTCACTTGAGAGGAGGATTGCAAACCTACTTTAAGAAAATGCAATTATATTTCCCTTTTTCATGATATAAAGGAAATAATTTGCATCTTAATGATTATCAACAGGACAATCAATTTCTTTTAAAATGTAAGGCATATTTTCATTTGATATCATTATAAAGTATGAAACAATTCAGATATTTATAAGATTTATAAGATATATGTATTTAAGCTTTCAAAAGGTTAGTGTAGAATTCTTCTATATAAAAATGCATTCTATGAACAGAAACTTTAAATGAGATATTTAAATGAACTAAATAAAGCCTGTACTTATTCTGTGAGGGGGAAAAATCCTCTTATCAGTGTTCTCCCTTAGGCTTGTATTCTTATGCTGTTTTATAACATTGCGCAGAGATATATTTGCCTGAAAAAAAAAAAAATCTAAGTCCTAGGAGTTGTAAGTTCTAAATGTAGCTTTATTCCAAAGGTAAACCTAGAATCATAGAAAGGCTTGGTTTGAAAGGGACCTTAAGGAATATCTGGTTGCCCTAGATGCAACCCCTGCTGCCACAGGCAGGGAAACCTTCTACTAGGCCAGGCTGCCCAAAGGCCCGTCCAACCTGCACTTGAACACTTAGCGTACCTGCTTATTGACGGATCCCATTAGAGCTGCCTTTGCTCAAGTAACTGCTCATCCGGAGCTGTCCGTTGTCCTGAAACCCATCACGGCATTTTAGCATTCCTGCGCTCCACTTCAGTGTGCCTTTATGTCCGATAGCTATTCATCAGGTTTGTAAACTTACTTCTTCAGTGAAATATATCAACTCTATGGATAGCCTAACTTTTAGTAGCTTAAAATTAGAATCAGGTTCTTTCTGCCTTTAGCAACTTCGGAAATTACTTTTGTGTAGTTTAAAAATCTTGGGATTTAACTAGAAAAAGGACGTCTATAACATGAAAACAAGTTACTCATTAGTAGTAGGCAAACTGAAATTATTTTCTGATGTTATAAGTGTTTATGCACTAATAATATTTTCAGAGTATGCAACAAACTATAAGTTGAAAAGTTAATGTCTAAGTACAGGATGTAACTCTTCTGATCACATCTAAATACAAGAATGAATTATTTTTGTTTTATCAGCAAAAATTTTGTCAGCAATTCCACAGAAATGTTTACCTCAAGCAAGTCTAGAAAGGTAAAATATATATTATTATGGAGTTTAAATAATGTTAAAGTCTACTAAAGAATTACAAGAAGTGTTTGTCACCGCTGTTTTTACTTTGCAATTCAAGTTACCTACGCATTCTATAAATATTTTCTTCCTTAAGCACAATGTCCAGTAATAATATTTTTTCTTCATTCTTCCTATTTTTTTTTCATACATACAAACTAAAATAACATAAAAAAAATTGCTATTGCTTTCTTTTCAGGAGGTACCATTTCTTTTCATCAGGTATTTCAATGGTCAGGTGTCTTTACTGGGTCTAGGAGCAGTCACTTTTACCATCCTAAGAGAATTTGGTTTCATTTGTAATCACCATTCTGATCATCAGCTTCTTGTGCACATTCACTGCTTACGGGCAGCAGCAAGTATTCATTGTTCTCTTTTCATTTTGTTTCATTTAATTTCTACTAATAATGTTTCTGTCAGGCATGTATTGCTTGTTACATTGTTAAAACTGAGGAGGTTTATAAGCTAGTCAGTTGTTTATGCTGAACAGATATGTGCAGGTCCAGAAAGGAAACCTTACTATCATTTAAACTGTTCCAGCTGAGTTCCCTGTATGACCAGCCTGAAGTTTAGACATTATTGGTAACTGAATAACCCTTTGACTGAAGACAAAATATTGGATTTATGTTATCTGAGTCGAAACATTGCATTTAGTTTTCAGGCTTCTGGGAAAATCCCAAAGCAGCTCAAAACTTGCTTTTATCAGTAGCTAACAATCTATTTCCCTATCAGTTTTATGTCTCCTTCCCGCCTGCCTTCTCTCTTCTTTCTCCCACAGTAAGCACCATGTAAAATATGTGTGTTATTATTACGGGTAAGTACTTTATAAAAATATTTATTGTGTAGCTTATTGCAGTTATATAGCCTAAACCCAGCAAAAATATCCTGTGTGCTCAGACTGGTATTTTAACAGGATTATATGTAAGGAGATATTTTGTCAGACCCTAGAATGAGTTTGTTTATTGTCAGACAAGAGCACCCAGAATGTTTTGTTTAGAAACAAACAAGCCAAAAACTATTTGGATTTTAATCAAAAAATGTATTTTCCTCATAAAAAAAATTCACATACTCACTGTGTCTACTCTACAGAATTTGTCCATTTCATTACACCATGTGTCAATCCTAGTATACCTGTTCACTTCAAAAACTCGTGGCTAGACTGTGTAATACAGCAGAGAAGGAGGTATTGCTCAGTTCCACTACTTTTATATAATAATAAAAAAAAAAATACAGAAAATGTTCTTGGCTACTTGCACTGTATTCCAGACTTCAATGTCCCATCAAATTTCTAGAAAATGAAGTTAATTGTATTTGGTTGGTAGAATACCGTTAGAAACCAGTTAGTTAAAATTCTTCTCTTATGCTGAGTGAGTACATATTCCCATTTGTCAGCAGCAGCAAAGTCCAGATGTCTAGTTCCTAAGTGAAAGAAATTATTTTTCTTGTTGCCTTTTTGTTCAGCACAAATGCAGTCATGTGCTTTTTATTTCAGGAATTAAGTGATATACTGACACATTTATGACATATTAGTTGGTACACCTATTACAGTTGCTTTTACTTCCATTGCTGTGCTTTTGTCTTTGCCCATGTCCCAAAGACTGATCAGTGGAGGATAAAGCTCATTGAGTGAAAAGGATTGTTTCTTCAGATAATTCTTTAGATAGCTGTGTCCAACACCATAGTTCATGCCACGTGAGATGCAACTGTAGAGATACGTCACAGAGATGATTCCCAAAAGAGCTCCAAGGCAGGCAAAGAATCCTATTATGTTGTTCTTTTCATAGCCTTTCACTGCCAAGTCCAGTCCCTTTGTGGTTACGTTGACACATTGTTTCTTATTCTGTGAATAGATAGTGGGAATATCTATACAGATTTTGTATTCGGTTGATGGATTTAGATGTGTAAGATTATATACCTTTATGTCAGATGGTATTCGAGCACTCTGTGCAGCTCGAGAGTTTTCAGCTTTTGGAAAGGCTGTCCATCTAACACTGGATTTCAGAATTTTAGAACTTGCCTTCCATGAAACCAAAACAGAATTAGATTTTATGTCTTTTATTTTAATATTCAGAGATCCATTGCTGTCCTGAGGGAAAGAGCCATCCACTTTAATCATGACTGACTTTAGGTCTGCCCCAACTAAATTTGTTGCTATACATGTGTATAAGCCACTTTCTTTTTGTGTTACATCACTTATGTCCAATGTTCCTTCGGAATGAATGTAGTATTTGTTAGAAATAGTATTAGGCAAAAGTTTGTGTCCTGATGGTGTTATCCAGTAGATTTCAGGTTCTGGTTCTGCTGTTGCTCTGCAGTGTAAGGAAATATGGCTGCCAGTTTTCAAATCCAAAGTAGATGGAAAACTTTCAGGAGCTATCAGTGGGAGACAGATTTCCATCATTTCCCGGAAGTGTATCTGTCTCACATTCTGGCCTTGAAATTCAGGGGGGTCTACGCAAAACAGGGACTCCGGCTCCATGAAGCGAATGTTTGTTTTATTCATGTTAATCCAGCGGATGACACAATCACATCTAATGGGATTGCTGTGTATACTAACTTCTTTAAGGTTAGGCAAGGATTCTATTGTACTGCGGTAAAGGGCACTCAGTGCGTTGCTGTTAAGCATGAGAGATTCCAGCTTGGGCAGTCTGTAGAATGCATTTGGATGAATGTACGATAATCTGGGGTTATTGGTAGCTTCTATTTTTCTTAAATCTGGCAAATTATCAACAGCAAGACCATCTATAGAGATCAGTTCAGGCATGTTATTAATTCCTAACTCTTTTAGGTGCAGCATATTGCTAAAATCTCCTCGTCGTATTCTGTTAATGGGATTCTTATTTAGATCCAGAAATTTAAGTTTTGTGGCCTTTTGAAGAGCAATGTGGGGCACTCTAACAAATCTATTGTCGTAAAAGGAGATGCTTTCTAAATTGTCAAGGCCAGCCAAAGCATTATCTGGTATTTCAGTGAGATTTATGCCTGCTAAAACTAGGCTGCGCAGATTGATAAGAGGCTTAAAATTCATATCTTCAATTCTGATTATTGGGTTTTCTCCAATCATGAGAATTTCAAGATTAGGAGTAGCTTCAAACCACTTCCTGTTGATCATTTGCAGACCATTTGAATTGAGATGAAGTCTAAGAAGATTATTCAGGCCTATGAAAGCTCCTGGTGCAATCACAGAAAGCAGATTATGATTAATATAAAGCTCTTGTAAATTGTGGAGTCCAGAGAGACATTCTTCAGGGAGTTCAGTAAGTTTGTTTTCTTCAAGGTACACTGAAAGCAGCTGTGGTATCTTTCTAAGATTAATACTGGTCACTGAAGATAAATTGTTCTGAGATAAATCTAGACCAGTTAAATTCACTGGGAAGTTGACTGACTGTTCAATGTTTTCAATATTATTAGTCTGTAGAAGTAGAACTTGTGTGTCAGCAGGCAGTCTGGCTGGAAAATTAAAAAGGCCTAAATCATTACAATCCACTGTTGGAGCATCCATATACACAGACCTGGGGGTGAACCATGGTCTGATCTCGCATATACATGACTCTGGGCAGTCTGCTTTTTTTTCTACAGCTTGTACTAGTGCAGTGATAACTAGGCCAACTAGAAAATTAATTTTGACTTGCATGTCCTTCATCTTAGCTCAAATGTTCAGAAAAGTAACACGTGTTAATATTCCACAGTTATGGGTTTGGAATTCAGTATGGCCTGGTCAGTTGATAAAGTGCACACTTGCATTTGTGAAATGATGATCGTGAAGGACTTTCTTCCTGAGGATAAGTGATAAATTTGTAACCAACTTGTCCAGTAGTAAGAGGCATTTTGTGGAAACAAAGGTCACTCTGTCCTTGATGACATAAAATTGATAAGCTTTGTGAAGATGAAGTATGTATAGATGGTCATAGGAGATTAAGCAATTCATTTATTTAGTAGTATTAACTTCAAATCCCATGATTGATTAGTGTTTGCAGGAATGACAGGGTGACCTAAAATAGAAGAGGAAATAATTAGTGTAAGAAACTATAAAGTTATAAATTAATTTAGACATCTTTTGCTCTCTAATGTTAATTATTGCAAGTAAGAAAAGAAAATTACTGTGGTGCCTAGAGTGTTGTAGTGGTGTCCAGATAGCATAAATGAAGTTAATATAGTAATATATCTTTAGACTTGTAGCTTGTCATACATCCAGTGGAGCATTGCTCTACAGAAAGAGGAAGATCCAGCAAGTATAAGGCAAAATATGTCAGTGAATTTTTTCTACCTATTTTATGGTGCTTTAAAATATTTTATTTTTTCTTTCAGTTATCACTAGAAGCAGACTGAGTTCTGTTGGCTTTGAAAATATAAACACTGAGCAAAATCCTACAGAGCATGAACACAACTTTTGAACATAAAGTAGAAAGAACATAATATATGTGTAATAAAAGGAAAAAGGAATGATGGGATTAACACGCCTTCCTAATGATTACACTGTTAGGCAAGCCTGTAAGATACTTATACAGAAATATGGAAAATCAATAATCCACAGGCTTTATAATTTTCTAATTCTTTTTGAGGCTGCTGTTTAGGAAGAAAACTTTTCTTTAAAGTGATAATTAGAAAGAAATATGTACCTCATAATAAATAGCTTATCATCTTGGCAAATTCAGGCTAATTACTGGCTTGCTTGTTTTGGCTTCAGTAACTTCAATTGCAAGGAATAATAATAACAGAAAAGTGTCTTTAGAGTAAGAAGGAAAAAAAATTACAGTAGCAATTGTTTCTTTGGTCTGTAGCTCTGCAAGAATCTGAAATTTGCTATGAAGTTTCAGATTTTCTTCATGTCCTAAATTATAGTAAAGACTTGAAGCCTTAGCATCTTGAAGCATCAAATGTGTCCTCTCCAGATTTTTGTTATGTACTTGCTTGTTATGGGGAAAAAAATATTCTACTTTCAGTGTATATTTTGTTCCAAGTGATATAATCCCAACCTTTCATATATGAAGTAGTACACATTAACTGGCTACTTTTCAGAATATACACTTCACACTATTGTCCAGAAGACTTCATATGATACACATTTATACCCTTTCTCCCCTTGCCCTTAGTGTCAAAATACATAGCGACATAGTTCACAAACTGTAAGATCAAGGCTTCATTGACATTAATAAGTAACTTCTGAGGTGTTGCTAGTACAGATAAAATTGCTAAAGTCAAGCGTCAAGGATATGGACTTTAGGTTTCCTTTTCAGGCCCAAGCACTGGGCATATTGACTGCCTAGGCATTCTGTATCAGCTCAGAAGAAAGGTGCTGGAGCATGTTGAGTGACATTAGGCCAATTTGAAATACATTTGTCAAGTTTTTGAGGCAGCTTTGTGTTATGTACATTTAAGGACATTTAATATTGTATTTTAACTTGTAAGTGTATATTGTATTTTGACTTGTAAGTGTATTAATAAAGTGAACAGACAATGTGTGAGATAAACATACAGAAAACATTCTGCTGTTTTAAGGATTAATAATATGTTTTTATGCAAATGGTCTACTGGAATGCAAAAAAACTGACTGAAATAGTGAAAATGTAATCTCTTCCTTTGTTCTGAGAAATTAGATGAACTTGAGGCTTGAAGAAAAATAAAGGTTTGACTTGTACAGTTAATGCCTATATCTTGTTCTCAATTTTGCCTCCAGGAGACAAGGTAATATACCTATATGGAGTACTGTCCTATTTACTAGAGATCTCAATGGAATTCATTCTGTGTCAAATGCACAAATGTAATTTACTATGTAGGGAGAAAAGAAGATGACAATGAAGGGAATTGATTGAGTCATGTTCTTCATGCACTTGCTAAAGCACAAGCCCCATTGACTTTTGGAATTTTATTTGGATTTTGTATTAAAATGTATCTGTAAGCATGGCAAATACAAAATGTAAGTTTATAGTAATTGAAAGCTGATCAGAAATCTTACCTGAATAGTAAATTAATTGAGATTAAACAGACTGCTACTGCAGATATCTAATCTCAGCATTCTGACCCCACTATGATTCTCAGGGACTTCTGTTCAGTAGAGGTACCAGGAAAGTATTCTGGGGAAGCATAGCTACATAGCTGACCTGGTTTTCTGCTCCTCCTTTGACATTTGCTATTGGCCACTTAAAGATAGGAAGTGGACCAAAATGAACCTTTCATGTGTGTCCCAGGCATCCTAGAGGCTGTAACAGTTGAAGCTTGTAAACTACTGCATTTTCATGTACACAGAGCCAACATGCTCCTGCATTTGAGTTTATACTCCTCCTGACTTTATACTGCAGCTTCTATGGGATTCACAAGCCAAAACCAAGGACACAAGTGGATATTTTCATGTCATATATATTGGAGTGGGCTTTCCGGCAAAACATTTTTGTATATAATAGTAATATTGTGTGACTCTGATATACAGTGTTGACAATAAAAGTAAGGAAACATGGACTGCTGATGTTAAGTTTTCTGGTTGCATCTGAAGAGATCAAAAATCAGAATCAAGTTATGCAGTATAACTTTACATACACCAACTTCTTGATTACGTGTGTCTCTCTGTGAATGTAATTAATTTCTTACCTTGAGATATGTACCTACAATTTCTGAGAAGTGAGCTGCAGCTTACTGTAATAAAATAAACCTCATGTAAATTGATATCTTGCAATCAATGCTATGAACTGTAATTGAAGTTCTATTTCCTTAAAGAGCATAGTCACAGAGATAAATGTATTGGAGAATAAGCATTTAACTTTGTGATACTTTAAACTTTTGAAATACACCGATTCCTTTTCTTCATTAATGTACTGATAGTAGTAAATCTATAATGATAGCCCTAAATAAAGATCAAAATTATATACTACTACTAACTGATTTTCAGAATTTTTATTAATGGGTTTCAGTGCTTTTAAAGATAAGTGTTTAATAACATCTGGAGTTTTAGTGAAATTTTGCTTTTCAAATGTCTTTTTGTTTTAAAGATAGTAGAAGGGCAAAGAGAACCGAAAGTTATTTGTCCTGTTCCTTTCAATAGTATTTGAGGTATCTGAGATTTACATATACAGAGGTTTCTGTGCAAAGGTAGATAATTTCTTTAAAAAAAAAAATGCAAATAATGCAATTACATCAACATCACCTGTTAAGCAAAAATATTGGTTTTATTTTACTGCTTTTGTTAGTAGGTTTTGATGATCTCTCAGGAGTTTTGATGCGATGCAAGTGATTCTAAAGACTTGTACCTACTAATAGAAGTTGTACCTTGTACCTACTAATAGAAAAGCCTGTAGAGATGAGGGTCAGGTGAAAATTATCCCCAGTCAGCTGAGCTGTGGTGAAAGTGTTTCCACATAAGCAGCAGCAGGAGCTACGCATTGCAGTTTTAGACTCTGATGAAGTTCTTTCCCCTGCTACATTTATAAATCTGTGCACTCTGATTGTACATGTAGTTCTTCATCTAAATAAAATGATATGGTTTTCTTCCTAATGTATCAATTAAACAGTCTGCATCTAAAAAGCTAGCAATGCTATTCAGTATTTTTATTACTGTTTTCCTTACCAGAACTTCTGTCCTAAAACTGTTTAAATCATGGACAGATGACTTAATTTCTTCTGGAAGTCCATCCCTATTGCAGTTCATACTTACTATCTTATTAAATATGGTATGCCTCTTGCTTTTAAGGTATTATCTCTTGCTGTTAGAAAAATGCAACCTGATGTGTGTGACTTTTTGCAGCCCAATTATCTCTTGTGTAGACGATTGCTATGTCTTAATTAGGTTTGTTTCATTCACTGCTATTGACAGTTGGAGCCTTAGTTTACAAGAGGGTATCACCATTATTTGAGCTGGAAAAGACATTCAGAGAGTGAATAAACTGAGCAATGTTTCTCATCACTGGAGCAACAGACAGTTAAGAACAAAGTCAGAGTGGGCAGAAAGGGAAAGAAACACGTCAGGTTTTGGCAATCTTTCTTTTCCACTTCATCAGTTAGAGAGACAGTGATAAAAACTAAAAATGCAGCAGCTACACTGCAATGTGCCCTGCTGGCAATAAGGCAAACAGTTCACTTCACAAGGACCAATTTAGAGGTGGCAAGCGTTTTGAAAACACAGCTGTTCATACAAAGGTACCTTTCAAACGTATCAATTGAAAAAGCCACTTTTCACTTCTTGTCATTATAACCCTTTCACTAATTGAGTCTGGCCTACTATCCTTGTGCTCATTTACTGTATCTTAATGAAATTTAATAGATATTAGAAGAATTATCAGCATGTAGAATTCATTAAGAACTTACTGTATTTCTATTTCTTTTCTCAAAAATTACATTATAGTATTTCGGAAAATATTGCAATGTAATAAATCATGAAGCTTCAAAAATGCAGTATTTAGAATAGATGCAACGAAAACAAAGAAGTAAAATGGAAGCCAAAGGAGTATTTACATATGGTATGTGACAATTTATTACATACACTATTTTAGAATAACTTTTCAATGGACTTAAATGGATATTTTGTAAAACCTCCTTTTAAAAATGGAAAAGATACAGCATTTGTTTCCTAACCTGTTTTAAACTGTATAACCATGACTGACCATGGAAAGGCAGGTAACTATGGGAACACCTGCATGTTGAAGTAAGGTGTTTATCAATCATAATCACAGTGCTCAATAGAAAAAGTATATATTTTTGTTGCTATTATTAATTTGGTGGCAGCAGCAGCATTGTGCATTGAAGCCAGAGGGTTGATAAGGAACACATTGTCTTGTGTGCTAACTTTCTTCAAAAGAAAACTCTGAGCTTTACTCTGTGGATCTTAAAATTTACATACAAGTAGAAGGACAACTGATGATTCAGGCAGGGTAAATAAAAAATAGAAGTCATAATCTCCAAATATCCTTGGGTTTATTTTTTAACTCTAACCATAGTCTAGTAGTTTTCTATCATTATCTGGGCTTGCTTTTCCAGGCTTCCAGTTTAAATCTTATGTCTGTAAATCTCTCTCATGTGATTTTAACTTTTAATCACACACTTCCTAACCATTAAATATATCTGACCTTTTCATAAATGTCATAGCGAAAGAAGATGAAAAGTTTTTTGATGATACTTGGTAAAGGAATTATTTCAGTAACTACAGTTCCCTAATTTATTTTTTGGTTTTTAGTCCTAATATGAAGGGCACAAAATAATTTTTAGGTATTGTTTTTGAGTTGCAAAAGTATGTTTATATGACAAAAGGCTGAATTTCAATGGAGGCTGCACATTTTTTCACTGTTTGTGTTGTAGTCTGTCATTTATGTTCTGACTTATAGTATGGCATTCCAAATCTTCTTGAAATATTTTTAATGTGTGGCAGTTAGACTATATCTCATAATTTTATATACTTGAATTAATTGTAAAAAAAATTTGAAAATAATCTGATTTCTTATTCCTTCTTCTTAAATGAGGTATTGAATATATAGTCCTGATATTGTTAATCTAAAAATTTAACTTATTGCTAGCATTACTTGTTCTGATTTTTTCTTAAATAATAACTCCACATATATGTTTTCTGGTCATCAGGGAAAAATATCAAGGATTAAGTGTTGAAAATAACCTTTCAAAGTACTTAGATCTTTGACATCCTTGTTATAGTTCTTAGCCTTAGGTTTCACTGTGTGATGTATTTATGGTTGCCATTATCAAGCAATTATGGGAAAAAAAATATTGCTGTAACTTGGGAAAGTAATGTGATAGTTTAATTTAGATTTATTCGTACATGTTCAACTTCTTTTTGTCAGTTGTCATGTTCGTAGTGGAGAAGCACATATTGGCAGTTACCTAGGCACATAGTTGGCAAGAGAGCAGTCACGTTCTGGGTGTGGGTGCATGTACCCAGTTACCAGATGCTTCAAGCAGATGGTCAAAACTAGAGATGAGTGAGACCAGTTTTGGCTTGATATTCTAGAAAGCTACCATACCGATTCTGGGGTTGTATAGTACATTTGACTAGTAAAAAAAAGCCTAGCCAAAATCCAGCAGAGCAATTGGCAAAAACCTATTTTTGTGATTTTTTTTTTTTTTTAATTTGTGGCTGATAAATGTAAATATTAAACGAGCCTAAAACACAGTAATAGTTCTGTTCAGGTAGTTGTAATAAAGACAGAGATAGTGGCTGTAGTTGGCACACAATATTTTCCTGCAAATTTAATAGTATATGCTTTTCTGATTTATGATGGGAAAATGGTCATTGTAATAAATAGATAATGATAAGCATCATAATCTTAGGAGTCACAATTTCTAGTCTATATTTTTTTCAGCAGCAAAGTTATAGGCTTGGAAGACCTAAATTTAAATTGTCAGTCTTTAATGGCAGACTTCTAATGGTTCGTGAATTCACCTTTTAGTTGTTGGTATAATTGTGATTTGTTTTGGGAAATGCTCACATCAAGGTAAATGCAGTTATACAATAAAAAAAGAAAGTAATTTTCAGTGTCCACTGTACTGATTATGAACTATAATAACCTAAAGATATGAAATGGCTTAATGAATGAAGTTATATTAGGAACATCCTGCTACAATCCCAGACAGTACTTGATGTATACTTATATTACGTGGAATGTGGCTTAAGATCCATGAAGGAGAAAAAAAATATTCTCATCATAATAGTAAGTAGAAATGCCGTACTTAAAAAAAAAAAAAAAATTGATTTTTTGAGCTTCCAGGAGTGGATGTTTTTTGTGTCATGAATTTTCCTATCGAATTGAGCTTTAACATAATAATTGTGAATATATTGGGTGATTACTTTCATTCTGAGCCACCTGGGGAACCAGGTTCATGATGTATTGTTCAAAGGAGATGGATAAATTTTTTAAATCTTGCTGAGGCAATATAGAGAAGTTGATTATGAAAAAACAATTTCAGGATGCAAAAATGGACAATGTGTAAACCAGAATATTATTTTAAAGATTCAGAAATAAAATTTCTGTTTTCTGCTGTGTTTTATGTCAGTTGGAGTGATTTATGCATACTCATAAATTACCAGCTCATAAAAATACTGTAATTTCTGATTGCAGAAAGTGTTTTGATTTGTATTTGGTATTAATTACAGTTTTTGCTCAGCTAAGCATCTCATTAATAACATTACATGTTGGGGAATTTTATA